TTATGGTTTGCAGTTGGAAGTCTGATGCAGCAGGGTTCGGACGTCATTCCACGAGCCGCTGCTACACGAATTGTTGCTGTCATATGGTGCTTTTTCCCCCAAAGCTTTATTTCTTCTTTAAAAATAAATCGAGTACAGAGTTTTCGCCCACTGCTGCATATGATATTTGTTACAAAAGACATTTTGTGAAAAAGTTTGGTGTTTTATAAAAAAACTGAAGAAAGGAATTTTGAATTATGAAAATGCTAGCGAATTTTGTTCCAAAATCGATATAACTGGAGTCTCTCATCCACGCCTTTCTATGATGGATCAATGTCCATGAGCACTGACGTAACTAACTGTATCAGGTCCTTGATGCCGGCCATCGATCGACAAATTTATGCATTTTTATGCGTTTTTTGCATCTATGCAATGCAGAAAACGCATACTGACAAAAGGTTGTATGTGTGTGTATGTGTCTGTGTGTGCGTCTGTCACGATTTTTTACCTTAAGACCTACAAAAGCTACAGAAATGAAACTTTGGGAAATTAATCTACATGTACATACGGGCTCCAATTCCCAAAATGAGCGTTCCTACCCACGAGGTACCCACGTATGGGCTCGTGAGATTTATTTCGGGCAAGTCGCTAACTCGGGAAGCAGAAAAGCTAGAAAACTGAAATTTTAAGGAGATTTTCCCCGTCCACGTTAGTCTCAGTGAGTTCAAACCTCGCTCTCAGGTATGCGGGGTACCCACGCACAGGCCCGCCAAAGTTTTTTCGGGTAATTTGCTAACTCGAGAATTTTGAAAGCTAAAAGACTGTGATTTTAAGGGGATATTCTCGTCCACGTAAGTCTTAATGAGCTTAAACCCGGGTATGCGTGTTTCCCCCATACGGGTAGGTGCAAGTTTTTTTTGGTAAGTTGCTAACTCGGGAAACTGAAAAGTTAGAAGGCTGTATTTTTAAGGCGATATTCCCCGCCCACGTAAGTTTTAATGAGTTGAAATCCAGAAACCAGGTATGCGTGGTACCCACGTACGGGCCCGTGAAATTTTTTCAGGTAAGCTGCTAACTCGGAAACCTGAGAAGACATAGAACTGTAATTTTAAGGGGATTTCCCCCACCCAAGCGGGTATTAATTGGCTCAAAACCAGACACCGGGTATGCGGGGTACCCACATACGGGCCCGTGAAAATTTTTTCGGGTAATTTGTTAACTCGGAAGCCAGGAAAGCTAGAAAGTTGAAATTTTAAGGGGATGTTTCCTGACAGTTCTGTCATCCAGTCTTAGTTTGTTTAGCTGGAAGCATTTGCCGGAAAAATTGGTGCCGGTAGCAACAAAAACTGCGAGGAACTATGCAAAAAACGCATCTTCGCACCAGTAGCCGATGCGTTGGCCAATTATATTTTTTTTTTTTTGTGAGTGCTGCGGTTTCCAACTGATAATTATGCCAACTAGTACACCAGGACTTCCCCACGATTTGTTTCCAGTCGAATTTGTGCTTGAAGAAAATCAGAATTCTGGCTTCACTGTTCACACCACTCTGCAGATATAAAACCTACCCTTCTGTGAAATTTCAGTCACTGATCAGAAAGCAAATGCGTATAAAAGCTGATTCGAGGCAATTTATCTGACCTTATGTGGCCATTCAAGATCCCAAAAATTTCATATTCTGCTTTATTCCGCACTCACAAAGCTATCCTAACTGGAAAATGAGATTGCTATCAAGGCAGAAACGGATCTGAAGTCGCAGTTCATCTCCAATTCATATGAGGGTTCTTTCCTCCAAAATCTTCAGTCTGAATCTTTCTTAGCTGCATCGAAGCATGAAATTAGCTCTGGGTCTACAAGCATAGGTCGAGAATAAAAACACATATGAGATGGTGCTAGGCCTGCGACCTGATATGTAGCTGCGAATTATTCAACATCTGTTTGCAATGCGGCGTTGATTAGCCCAAAAACATGCATACATAAATATTTGCATACAAGCATGCAGTTCTATAATAAAGCATATTCTTTTCCGTAAGCGTCAAAACGCATGCAAAAGAGGACTTACAGTCTTTCCGGAAAAAAAACTACTTAATGGGTTGATTTCAGGTGGTTGTTCACATTGATAATGCTTTCATCGTATACCGCACAACTAGCAGCATTTCTGACAGTGGAACGAATGACAACACCAGTAGAAAGCACCGCTGACTTGGCTGCGCAACAGAAAATCAAATACGGCACACTGAAGAACGGGTCAACAATGGACTTCTTTCGTGATTCCAGAATCTCCATTTATGAACGCATGTAAGCAGTAACAGTCCCTCTGTTACTCTGCCAAACAAAACAGCGGCGGCTTCGGCCGGTGCGATGATGCGTTTTGCACAGTTCTATCTAGCGCACGTTTGTTGTTGAAACGTTGACTGCTTTACAGTTTGGTGTGTGCAGAAGTAGTCGAAAATTGTCTGTTTCGCAAGCTGTGAAATGTCCCACCAGAGATCGTACATTCCTGCACGCGGAACGCAAGCATTCGTGACAGTTGTGTCTGGACTTGTAAGAGTCGCGTGTTAATAGAAAACATTCTCCGAGCTTTGTGTCTTATTTGGCTCCCGAACTAAAAATTTTTCATTAGAGATTTCTCGCGGAAGATGTCAGCAAACATAAAAACTGCACACTGACAAACAAAACATCATAAATTTTTAGCCCCTTTTCCGCCTCACAAGACAGAAGATTTCATTTACAAGTGAAATTTTATCTGCAAAATACCATAGTTTTTTAAAATTTTCAAAAAATGTATTTCAGTCTACTTTATTCCAAATGCTTTACGTAAAACGGTTTTAACCGCCAACGGACGAGTGATTCGCAAATTCATATAATTTTAGGATGTGTTATTTTGAAATTTTCAGGTGGTCTGTAATGGAATCCACAACTCCATCGGTGTTCGTGAACAGCAGCCGTGAAGGTATTGCTCGCGTTAAAACCGGCAGTTACGCGTATTTGATGGAATCATCGATGTTAGAGTACCACATGGAAAGAGACTGTCAGCTGCAGCGCATTGGCGGTCTTCTCGACTCAAAGGTTGTTCAGAGCTGACGAGTTTAAAATGCGAGTGTGTGTTCTGGATCTCTTTCACAAACTTTTGTACAGCAACATACCGAAGGCTTTTTTCAAAGAAAAGAGGGTAAAATTCTTGAATCGGTTTGGTACGGAATATTTTTTGCAAATTCTTTAAATTCCATAAGTGCTTTCTTTTCTTTTAATTATTTACTTTCAAAATTAGCAAAATTGATGAAATATGACGCGTAGTGAAGATACAGCTTTTACGGTTTCGAACCATGCTAGCACAGATGTTGCTTGAATCGCAACATCGAGCAGATTTTTAACTAGTGTTAGGTTATACATTATCGATTGATAGAGCGGGCAAAAAAAGAAGAAAAAAAAAAGAAAAAAACCACCGTAACGAAACAAAAATTGTTTCTTTATGATTTTTTGGCATTTACTGTGAGCCACATTTGTTTCGCAGAAACGCATAACGTATTGGTGATATTCCTGTTCTATCTAGTGCTTGTTTTTTTTTTTTTATCACCATTTGTTCGTTATTAATAATTGAAATATAAATGAAGTTGTAGTTTCTAACAGATATTGAAATGGGAAGTTATTCTGGTTTTTTCTTAAAGTGTTTTTAGTTGTTCATTCTACGAAATGATATAACTGCCTTTACTTCTTTCACTAAATATGCTGCTATTCGTATTAAGTTTTTGGCATCGAGGCTGCGATAGTGGTTTCAAACTTGCAGAGGAATAATTTTTCTAACATTCATCTTTTTGCTACTACCTTATTTAACACTCTATTATACCAACTAGCAAATATTTTGTAATTTAAGGGATATGGAATAGCGCTTCCGAAGGGCTCGCCACTGCGACATCTTCTTTCACAAACAGTGTTGCAGCTGCAAGAACGAACTATTTTGGTAGCTCTGAAAAATAAATGGTGGAAAGACAAAAGCGGTTAGCGTTTCATCTTATTGACACTTTCTTCCGGTTTGGCAAAAAAAGCAGGCTTATTTTGCACTTTTTTTCTACATTTTTGTATAAGTGATTCATGCAAACTCCAAGAAATCTGACCTGTGCTACTTGACCTTGATGAGTATCTTGAAATTTACCGGATATCTTCGAAATGGGTTAGGTTACAAGCAATTATGCCAGTCGGGATGTGCATCAAATGCAAGAATCGCGGGAGGAAAGACGAGAATGATGGGGGTGAAAGAGGAGGTGGATGGACGGAGAACGAGGAGCTAAGGCTTCGGTCCATTAAATAGTGAAGCAGCCTCAAGCACGTCGACATATATCGCATTTATTCGACTTATATGGTATGGCCCACTATTTGCCCGATTAGCGTATGGTGCAGCTGTGCGACAAATACAGTAAAAACAAACGCACACTTTAGACAAGTTATACGGAGGTAAGCATAGAATGAACCCAGGCTGAAACGCACCAGGCGAGCCGGTGCGATCATGCGTTTTTGCACAATACTTGAATT